ATTCACTGAATTTGTAATATTGGCTTTTCATTCAATTCTTATTGTAATGAAATTAGGTTCACAGATTTTCAATTATTTCTCTAATGGAAATGAATTAAACAATCTGTATTTTGATTCCCAGTAACTAATTTTTCAGTAAAAAATTCTTCAGCGGAAATATTCGGTGATTCCATATGGATTTGAGTGAATGTATCGATCCTACAAGCGAGTAGATTCAGAACTATTATTTCCTACAGCAGGACTAATTCAGGTTCCTAAAAAAATATCGACTGAAATCGAAATTAAAAAAATGTTATGCTTCCTTAATCCGAGCTTCTTAAACAGTATTAATTTTAACTATTGATACATAATAATCAACTCTTTATTTTCTTTCTTCGTTTTAATTTGATTCCTATATTCATTTTATTTTAACTTTTATCTACTTTTTTAAAGGAAATAAAGTTTTTGAGTATATTTCGTTTGTTAATCGAAATCGTACGAAATTCGCCTGAATAATCGTAACCGCAATCGTAATCGTCTAACTTTAATCGTTTCATCACTACTAATTTATATTAATGAAATTGAAATAAATAAGTACTGTTTCTGGATAACTTTTTCAAAATTTCCTCCAATAAAAATCTCACGATGTAAATTGATGTAAAGGTAAGAAGTCCAATTTACCCAAAATTTCAATAATGACAAAAACTGTTAACCTTTATGTCCAAAATTTTATTTCCGCAACTGTACAGGGTGCTGCAATTTGGAGTGTTTTAATAGGAAAAACATAAACTGCGTTTTTTTTAAAGGTAATTCCCCAAGTCAAAAATTTAGTAACTATGTTGGCAATACAAGCCTTTTCAACATAAAAAATTTGAAAGCATTGACAATTTTACATTGTATTGCCAACATAATGTCAGTTTGACTTTTATCTTTAAAAAAAAAACAGATTTTACTTCCAGACCAGATAGAAGAAAATTGACTTAGATGTCATGGGATTGATTTTCGAGAAACGTCGATTGTCAAAAACCGTATCGCGATATCTTCAATGGTACCATTAAAACAGGGCGATTTTCGATTTTCCTCTATTATGAAAAATGGCTAAACGTTTTTTGTTTATCAATTTTTTTTATTTCTGTGAAAACATCTTTGGGATACTTCTTTGAGCACAATACAGTGGCGTACTCAGTTTTTTTCTATTTTGCTCCTATTTTGAGATATTGATCGAAGTCCGATTTTTTTAAATCGGACACCCTAAGTATATATTATTAGCTCATTGGATAGCTCTACTTTTACAGATTTCAATGATATAAAGTTCGATAGGTTTATCTCTAACAGTTTTCGAGGAAAAAAATTATATCTGTTTCAGTAATAAGAAACAATGTGTTAGAAAGAGACCTTCCTCATTTTCCTTACACATATCAAATCCATTTCTAACACATTGGTCCTTACCACAAAAACAGATTTAATTTTTTTTTTCTCGAAAACTGTTAGAAGTAAACCTATCGAACTTTATATCATTGAAATCAGCAAAAACAGAGCTATCCAATGAGCTATTAATATATAGGGTTTTTCATTTGAAAATATCGGACTTTGGTAGATATCTCAAAATCGGAGAGAAAAAAACTGAGTCCGCCACTGAATTGTGCTCAAAAAAAGTGTCTCCATAATGTTTTTACAAAAATAAAAAAAATTGATAAATAAAAAACTTATAGCTATTTTTCATAATAGGGAAAAATCGAAAATCGCCCTGTATCAATGGTACCATTGAAGATATCGTGATACGGTTTTTGACAATCGTCGTTTCTCAAAAATCAATCCCATGAAAAATCTTCTATTTTGACATATTTTTATACGATTATGTCAGAATAGAATGTTTTTCGGACATCTTTCGTCGGAAAAACGGATGCATGAAAATTAAGCTTAAGTCAATTTTCCTCTATCTGGTTTCGAAGTATGTTTTTCCTGTTGAAACACTCCAAATTGCAGCACCCTGTACTTAAAAACTTAATAATTAATTAATTAGTACTAAAACATTTACCAAAATAAAACTGCGTTGGACAGCGTCCAACTAGATATTTTTTCTAGATAATTTCCCCATTATTTGACGTGATATATTTCACATCCTATTTTTTTATTCCAAATCGGTGTGTTTAATGAAAAAACTACAGGCAGGAGATGAAAAAGTTTCTAATTTTTATTTTCATTTTTTAAGTTTTTGTTGTTTTGTCTTCTTTTTGCAAATTTAATAACTAATAGGAAAAATAGGAGTAAACTATTTAAAAACCCTCCCATTCATTTTAAAAAAGTGAAAAATTATGGAGAAAGTATGATTTTATAATACCAATACTTCCACAGAATTCTATTCTATCTATCTATTCTATTCTATCGTTTTTCCTATTTAAGATAAAAAATAAAAACATTATTTTTCTGATATCTTTGTACTGCGATACCTCCCTAAATATGTAGTTGAATTTTGACTCAACGTTTATATAACCAAAGTCTATATAACACATTACCTTAGCACACTACCCTTTATTTAAGGAATCACCCCCTAAAGTTTTCGCACTTGTCTAGAGTGTAGACTTCTCACTGGCATATCACAGCATTTTTATTTTTCAGGAATGACGGATCTTCTAGACTTATCGCCAAAATCCCTCAACAGGAAAAAAGTTTTGTGTAGTGTGCATTTTAAAGACGAAGATTTTCTGAACCCAAAAACGAGAAACCGGTTAACAAAAAATGCTCTTCCTATAAAATACATTAGCGAAGAAGTTATCCCTCATTTCGATTCACCGGAGCTAAAAGTGAGAACGCCGGTCAAAACTTATAGCAAAGATTATAGTGCTGGACCAAGCAAGATTCCTTTGTATTCTCCGCAAATGTTACAACCTTCAACAAGCAGAGAGGAACTCTCCCCAAGAACAAAGGCATTTATAGATGATTTATCTGACATGCCTGAAAAATCACCAACAATAAAAAAGGTTAAACGTACTCTCTTCAGTAACAATGAAACCCAGGTAACCACAGCTAAACTAAAAAGCGTAATTGCTAAACACAAATTAATGTTCAAGCAGAAAAATAAAATAATCTCCAGATTAAAGCAACAAGTCAAATTATTAAAAGATGGAAATAAAAAAAAGACCTGCGTTGAGGATGCAACTTTCGCTTCAAAATATTCGGAAGCCTTAGTTAACATGCAAGTTTGCCATAAATCAGGCCAGGTCTGGACAAAAACGGAAAGGGATTTCAGCTTGCTGTCATTTTATAAATCCCCAGGAGCGTACAAATATTGGCGAAATACTCTGAAAATTGTGATGCCTGGATTGTCAACAATCCACAGATGGGTAGGAGATATTGAATGTTTGCCTGGGTTCAACCGATCAATTTTAAATGAGATAAAAAACAAAACCGCTACAATGGAGGAGTCAGAGAGATATTGCACCTTAATATTTGATGAAATAACGATTAAGCAGTTTTTAGAGTACTCGCGCAAACATGATCGAATTGAAGGCTTTCATGATCATGGCGAGCAGTTCAGAAAAAATCAATTTGGTCGACAAATAATGTTATTTTTGATACGCGGTGTATATGCTAATTGGAAGCTCCCATTTGCATATTTTATATCTGATACCACCATGAAAAATGTGGACCTCAAAAAAGCTCTAGGCGAGGCGCTTAAATTACTCCTGGATGCAGGATTGAAGATTATCAGCACCGTTTGTGACCAGGGAAAAAACAACCAATCAGCTTTAAGTATGTTTGGAGTAAACAAAAATTGTCCATATTTTGAAGTTGACAATCATCGTATCTATCATATTTATGATGTCCTTCATTTGGTTAAGAACTTCAGAAACAACTTACTGAAAAATAGATTTTTGTACAAAAACGAGTTTGTCAACTTCAGAGATATCATAGAAGCATACAGAATTGACCAAAGCAGTACAACTTGCCGAAGTATGCCAAAACTCTCTGATTCCCATATAGAACCAGATAATTTTGAAAAAATGAATTGTAGATTGGCAACTCAAATTTTTAGTAATTCTGTGGCAGCTGGAATAAGAACTGCAGTCAGTACAGGAGAGTTAACTTCGTCTAGCGCCCTGCAGACAGCAAATTTTGTTAGTTTTATGAATAATCTGTTTGATTGCCTCAACAGCAAGCAGTTGTACAGTGCCAATCCGTATACTTGCGCAGTCTCATCAGATAGGCCAGTAGTACAAAAAACCATTGAAGAAGCTATTGACATCATTGAGACAATGCAGAAAGAGATGGCTCCAGGAAGGTACACAAGACCGGATTGTTTTGATGGTATGGTTCACACCCTTCGAGCAGTACTCGGAATTTACCACTCTCAGAAGGAGTTAGGATTCCGCTTTCTCTTAACCAACAGACTAAATCAAGATCCCATTGAAAATAAATTTGCATCATTCAGGCAGCGAGGGGGATTCAATATGAATCCAACAGTCCGAACTTTCAGGACAACGTTTCGGCTATCATTGAAGGTGAACCTTTTGAAACCCACTAAATTTTCAAACTGTGAGGAAGATGAAGATATCTCTGTGATATTACATCCGCCAGAAATATCCAGAATTGAACAACTACCATCAACTTCAAGTACAGGCGGCGAGACTATAGCTTCATCAACATTAAGTACCTCGACGAGTAGCAAAACAAGCAACAGCTGCAGCGAACGTAGACGGAGAAAATATGTCACTCTGCAAGAATGTTCGAACACATATTTTGCAGGATATTTGATTAAAAAAACCATTGAAAAATACAATTGTGATATTTGTAAAAATCATTTAGTCAGTGAACCTTTGACCAATACCGATGGAAGCCAATTATTAATAATGAACAGGACTTACAAAAATGTTTCATTAGGTCTACGGCGGCCTCAACAACGCATAACTAACCTTGTCAGGCAAAGTTTATTAATAATTGCCAGGATATTGAAAAAGTGTCCTCAAAAAGTTTCTATAGGGAGATACTTGAAAGAAAAAATCCAAAAATTAAGAGCAAAAATGCAGGTATTTGAAGCTGATTCCTGTAAAATTCATTGTGATTTTTTTATTGATTTAATGATTCGATGTAAAATAAACAAAGAATGCAAATGGCGAACCTTGTCCTGTAAAAAAAAATGTAAAAAGAAAAGGAAGCTCGATATTATACAAAATCTGTAAATTATAACCTACACAATTTGTGCTTGCCCTTTGGAGTCTTCTTTTCTTTGAAGCTGTATTGTGAATTATCCTATAATATATGATTTCTATTTGTTATTTGATTTTATTTATTTTACCTATACCACTTAGATTTTTTTGATAAGATTAAAGACGTACGTCTAGAAGAAAGTGAATTTTCGAAACATTTCCAATTTTTCATTCCTTCTTAGCCTCTTCACTCCTTCCAATTTCTTTCAAATATCACCTAAATGCTACACAAAATAAATAATTATAAAATACAAGAACAACAAATATAACCGAACAGCCCTCGTAAATTTGAATCTTAGAAGTGCGACCTTGGGCGACGGCAAAGCGACGCGACGGTGGCCGAAATCTTTGATTTTAGTTACAAAACAGCCGTGAGCGACATCTAGTTTTTTTAGCGCAAGCTGGAATCTTTTCAGATTTTCAGAGATGGTGCTGTAAATAATAGGTGCCACGATCGCCCATAAGCGGTGAATATCTATAGCCTGTATAATCTTTGCTAAAAGTAACTTTCACGCACTCAGTGCCTAAAAGAATGTCGTTTCAAAACTGAAATGACAATCGAAAAGTTGCTATTATGAAACGTCAGTAGAAAAAATATTTTTTTATGTGAAATAAAAAAAAAATGCCAGTGACCGTACCAGATTTGTATGGAATATTTTTTGAGAAAAAAATAGTGCGCCGCTACTTTTCCCAAAAATAAAAATTATTTTTGATATCCCCATTCAATTTGGAACAAATATGATCTCTTCACTTTTTTGCGAAAGTTGCACCGTTTTCAAGTAAAAAAATAAAAAAACCATTTTGATGTATGACGAAATCGCCAAAATTGTGATGAAAATGTTAAATATTTTAAAGACCTAAAGTTTCCAAACTATTTTTTTTAAATATTTCACATCAAAAAATGTCTTTTATTACTCCAAGGCAGTGTGAAAAATTTCAATGAAATATCTGAAATAGTTTTTTTCTTAGTATTTCAATACTCTATAGGTATCTCGGAAAGGAAGCGTTTCCGGACATATGTTTATATAGCAAACTACCGCTTATTTTCGACGTAGAATATGCCATACAAATTTGGTGCATTAATTTCGGAACACCCTGTATAACGAATTTGAAACTCTTAGAATCGTTTAGAAGAACTAGTCGAAATTTAGAATATATACATATAAGCAATCTAAAACCTCCTTGACCATTTTAAAAGAAATTCAGAACTTTACTAAGCTCCTGACGATTTTCAATTTTCAATTTGTTCACCCTTATTTGCAACAATTTAGGATTCAGAAACATTGTAAAATGCTCCAGAACAGTTTAGAACCAATTTTGAATTTTGAGAAACATTCTAGAACAGTTTTGAACTCTAAGCAATATTTTGGAAAGCTTAAGATACATACCTCAAAATTGGAATTTGCATCATTCTACAACGCTCTAAAACAATTGACAAATAATTTGGAACTTTTGCTACCAGTCTAGAATTAGTTGACAAGTTCCAGAACAACTTAAAAATCATTACGTAGAACAAAATTTTCTATAGCATATATTTATTCACAACTCAGATGTATCAGAGAACGTTCTAAAACATTTGTCTGATAACTTTTAGAAGGCCTTAACGATTCAAAACTCAAAAGCATTATAAAACCATTTTAGAACTTAATGAAGCATTTTGAAACGCTTTAGAAAAGGCTAATGTCTATTTCAAATTCAAATTCAAAAATAATTTATTTGCCATTCGGAGTCAATTACATCGCTGGAAAAAAAATATTTAAATATTATGCAAATATAATAAATAATAATATTGACACTCGGGCAAAATGGACCATCCTGCAATTTTTCAGTAACCAATGCTCTCGGGTTTCTAACAAAAGAAGCCCGAGAGTGGGACAGACCTATTAACCTAATATAACCTAAAATAATTCCGGTTTGAACAATGGGTATTAGAAAAGAAAAACTAAGGTAAAGTAAATAAGATCAAATAAAATAAAATAAAATAAAATAAAATAAAATAAAATAAAATAAAATGAAAATAATAAAACTAATGTATTACATAGGCGATGTGTCAGAGGGTGGGATTTGCACGAGTGCGCGCTAAGGAGTTTTTCCTGATTATGGAAGGGGTAGTTGGGGGAGACGACGACGGAGGGTGAGAGACGAATGGTTGACGGTCCAGACCGCATTTAGTGGTATTAATTATTATTTATATTTAGTATTTTAAGTCAAAAGCGAATGTGCGCACCCAGTTATGTAATCTATATGTACCCAAATATGCAAGCGCAGAGAGAGAAAAAAAAAAGTGATTAAAAAATAATAAAACATGTACCCATAGGCTAAATTCCTACAGTTGGCCCTGCAGAAGCATTGATTTTACATGCCTTTTGAAATTATAGAATGTAAGAGATTTTATATTATTTGGTAAATTATTCCAGATTTTGGATGCTGTATATGTAAATGATTTTTGAAAGTTTGTTGTATGGTGAACTGGAATTCTATATAAATTATCGTTTCTAGTTTCGTAGGTGTGTTGTAGTGGTATCAGACAACTGAGCAGATACTCCGGTTTTCCAGTTTTAATTATCTTAAAAATAAAGCAAGACATGTGACATTCTCTTCTGTTCTTCATGTTTAAAATTTTGTTGTCGTTCAGATATGGGGTTATGTGATGTCGGTAGGGAATATTAAAAGAAAATCTCATGCATGTGTTTTGTAGTTTTTGAATTTTCCCTTTGTATAAACCTGTTATCGAGTCGGAGTATACAACATCTCCGTAGTCAAATAACGACAAAATTAGAGTATCACAAAGAAAATATTTAATTTTTGATGGTAAACAATTTTTTAAGTACCTAATATATATTTTTTAGGCGGTAGTAGGCTGTTTTTAGTTTTTGATTGATGTGTGACTCAAATCTTGTTGCTTCGTCAATGATTATGCCCAGATTTTTTGCTTCAGATTTAAAGGGGATGGTTTCATTATTTAATGTAACTAACATATTTTTCTGCAGGCGCTCCCTTACTTGCCCGTTCTGGTCTACTAAAATTGACTGGGATTTTGTTGCATTTATTTTAAGGTTGTGGTTATCTGCATAGGTAAATATTCTATCCAAATCTAAATTTATTTTAGTGTTACAATCTGCCAGATTTTCATCTCTATGATTGATTGGTATATAAAGTTGTGAATCATCTGCATATTGTTGTAGTGAACTATGAACAAGGCAACTCTGCATGTCCGCCACATAGATGGAGAATAAAAGGGGCGAGAGAATTGATCCTTGTGGGACACCTTTAGTTATTGGTTCAAATTCTGACCTCTTTACCCCAGATCCAGTGGCGATCGACACAGAGGAAGCTCTATTACGTAAGAAATTTGAAAAGACATCGATTACAGACTGAGAAAAATTGTAGTAGTGAAGCTTTGCCACCATCATTTTATGATCTAAAGTGTCAAATGCGTTACTGAAATCCAGCATTGTGAGGCATGTCGATGATTTTACTTCCTCGTTGTGTCTGATGTCGTTGAGAATTTTTACTAAACATGACGATGTACTAAAGTGTCTTCTAAAGCCTGACTGACAATTGGGAATGATTTTAAACTTTTCTGAGAAGCTGCTAATTTGGTCAAAAATAAATTTTTCAATGACTTTTGACATGGTGGGTAATATACTGATGGGTCTAAGATCGTTGAGACTAAGTGGCTCTGCAGTTTTCGGGATAGGCTTGATGACGCTTATTTTCCAGATATCTGGGAACACACTCTCTAACAGGCATGTGTTGATGATGTTTGTCAGGGGGCCTATGATGTATGTTAGACATATTTCCAGGTCCTTTTTAGAAATTCCATCTACTCCAATAGCATTGGTTTTTATTTGGTTTAGAAGTTTTATAACTGTTTCTGTGTCTATGAGAGTAAAATTGAAGTTTTCAGCTACATTTTGATTTGTATTGGAAAGATAAAAGTTTACTCTGTCTTCAGATGTCGTAACCCCAGTATGAGTGTTTGATAAAAAATGTTTGTTAATTTCGACCGGGTTATCAAACTGATGAGGTAGCTCCTGAATAGCGGTTTTGCTTGTTAATTTAAGCTTCTTAGCTGTTTGCCAGAATTCTTTTCCCTTCTTTAAAGAAAGTTGGTCGAAGAAAGCGGCCTTCTCCCGTAGTATCGCATGCTTAGTATAATTTCTCAGCTCTCGATAGTACTGCAGTTTTGGTTCAGTTTTATTTTTATTATAGGCTCGTCTAGCTTTGTCACGAAGTTTCATTAACAGCCGGATATTTTGAGTGATCCAAGGGGTATATAGCCCTTGTTTAACTTGTTTAGCTTGTAATGGAGCATGTTTGTTTATCAGCTGATCAATATTTGTATTGAGAAGCTTGATCTTTTCCTCAATGCCTGGTATTCTGTATATTTGATCCCACTGTATATGTAGTGCATCTTGGTTGAAAATGTTCAAATTAATATTATTATAATTTCTAATATATACCAATCTTGGCCTTACTTGAAGTTTCGGCAGGTTAATACTGATGTAGATTAAGTTATGGTCAGTTATTTGATCAGAGATTTCGATTGAGCTACTATCTATGACTTCTAGGTTTGAGCTTGCAATCATGAGGTCTATCAGGGTTGCAGAATGACTGTCAATTCTAGTGGGTCTATCAATCAGTTGATTGAGACTAAAATTGTTTAAAATGTTTTTAAAATTCACAGCACATGCTGAATTTTCCAGAAGGTTTATATTTAGGTCTCCGGTAATAATAATATTTTCGTACAAAGGGGTTGTTAGTGTGAGCAAGTCTTCTAGTTTTTGGTTAAATTGTGGAGCGTTCCTTGACGGAGCGCGGTATATAGATATTAAGAAGTATTTTCTTGAGCAAAATACAAACTCAATACACATAAATTCGAACAAGTTCTCCGAGTCAAATTCAAGAAATATTTTTTTGAACGCTAGTCCTTTTTTTATGTACATTGCAATTCCACCACCCCTCTCCTGCCTATACCTCCTGATAAAGTTATATCCTGGAATTTGAAAAGCATGCGAGGGTTGATCTTCTGAGAGCCATGTCTCCGATAATGCTAATATCTCAAATCTATAATGTTCAACGTAAGAAGCAAATTCATGAAAACCGGTATTCATAGATCTGATATTTAAGTGCCCAACGGAGAAATTTTTAGGTGCTTCGCATTCGTCCCTGTCCCGTCTATTCGCCATTCCTAGCTTTGAGAAAAAGAACACCCCTCAACCCACTCGTCCCAAAAATTCGCCCCCCCTCAATGGCAATCAAAACCGCCCTCCATTTTAAAAATATTGTATTTACGATATTTATATTTATGTAGCACACACTCGTGTTGTTCCCTTTTCCTTTTACTATCATGTCTAAGCGCAAACAATCTACAACAAACTAAGCCAAAAATAAAAAACACAACACAAACTATTTGGTATTACCAAGTTGGAAAAGTTTACAAAAAATTTAATTTCTTAAGAAAAGGGTGACGCCTATTTTTCTCCTCCCGTGCCCCACCCCCCCCCCTCTCCCTAGCTACGCAACTGCACTATTCAGAAGCACCCTATATATGGGGATTTCCGAATAAGAGTTTTTGAAAAACGATAGTCATTGACAGTCATTGTATTCTTAATAAGTACCTACCTACCTAATTACTTACACTTTCTTCATCACAATAGACAAATACATAGAGGCAAGAGTAAAACGTTCCTGATTTTTCCCAAGCTTCTTGGTATTAAAACCAAATTATTCAGCATAGCAACTTCTACCAAATGATCAACAAACAATATTGTTCAATTTCAGATAGAAGATGAAGATTTTCTGGAATTCGACTACATTTTTGGCATGGACGATAAAAACATTTCGAATTTGAAAGGCCAACAACCACCAGAGAGCAGAGCAAAGATTTTGTTGCTAGGAGATTTTGATCCCGAGGGAGACAAGATCATCCGTGACCCATATTATGTAAGTCATTATTGTGTTTTCGTAATAATTTCTAAAATAATAACCTGGTGTAGTTTTTTTTAACTAATTACAAGAATCGGATTTTTACAATTAAGTTTATCGATGAAAAGTCATTTTTAAATATTCATGTCGCCCAAATTACTATTATAGGACTCCGGATCCGAGGGTTTCGAGAAGTGCTACCAACAATGTGTCAGATCCTGCAACGGATTTTTGGATCAGTTGGAGCAAGGAAAAATTTAAAAAAGAAAAAATGGATTGCCCTCGACATTTACAATTATTATTATCAGTAGCTTTATTTTTTATTAATAATTATAATATGTAAGTAATATATATATATAATTATTCCTCTCAATTAAATAGTTGTTGTTTACGGAATATTTGAAATGTAGTAAACTGGACTGCGACTGGATAATTGCGCAAACAAATAGAAATAGAAATGGAATTGATACCATAGGGTTGTCGAAACACACAAAAGTTATTACCACTCACCTGGGTTTTCTTATAGGCTGTGCGTATATACGGGGATCCCCTGGAAAACGGTTCTCCACAACCACCAACGTATCACCATCGACTTAAGGCACTCAAGGTCCCTTTTTAACGGCACAAGACATATAGTCAGTTTTGAATTGTATAAATATCATATCCCGTGTGCAACTTAGTGAAGCAATATCATGCGAAACCTCAAAATTTTCAGAAAAATGTGTAGATCACAAATTTTAATGGGGCGTATCTCGTAATGGCGGCAGAAGGGTGAGAACCACCCTTATACTACCCTACTGCGTATATTATGCAAAAACAAATGACACAGAGCCATTTCCTTAATTATAATTGAATTTCATAGTATTCCATTCATCACTTTTGTTTCAGGTACCTAATGTAGATGAGATCATTATAGTTATTTACCTAACAAATGCGGAAAGTGATACTTTACCGCACGCAACGGCAGTTGACCGAACGACGCGGAGCGGAATTCGGTCAAGCCGTTAAGGGCGGTAAAGGCACTTTCCGCATGTGTTAGGTACAAAATTTTACCTGATGAGCATCTACATCTCTAAAAAAAGGCATTGATAAAATTAAATATTGAATCAGATTAATTAATGAAATTAGATTAGATATAGAAATGATCAAAAATCCATTTTCTGAAAAAGAGAGGATTTCTGATTAAAAATATCAAATTTTACTTTACCGCACACTATGCGGTAAAGTGCACTTTACCGCACACTTTGTAGTCCACTTTACCGCATACTATGCTGTAAAGTTAACTATACCGCACACAATGCGGTAAAGTGCACTTTACCGCATAGTGTGCGGTAAAGTGATACTTTCCATTTGGAAATACGTGCGGTAAAGTGCACTTTACCGCACGCTCGTAGGTAATAGTTATTTTCCTAACAAGTGCGCAAAGTGTTACTTTTCCGCACGCAAACACAGTTATACGAACGACGCGAAGCGGAGTTCGGATACGTGTTTGCGTGCGGAAAAAGACACTTTGCGCACGTGTTAGGAACAAAATTTTTCCTACGAGCTTCATATCAGGTAGGTAACAACAAAAATTTAAAAAAAAAAAACGATAATTTGTGCAATTATTTTCAAATAACTTGAAGCAAACCTATTCATTCATCAAAAAAATACATAACAGAAAAACAGAAAATTGAAATCCTCGTCAGAGCTGTTCATCTTAAAGCGTTTAAATTTGATGCAAAAGAAGTTTGTAGATTCTTGCATGTAAATGGGAACACAAATCTGACAATGTGTCAAAGTTAATTATATTCAGTGTTTGTATAGATGTTGGCTGATATAGAAACAGAGAACAAATTTGTCATCATGTGTCAAAGTCGACAGGTGCACTGATTGTTGCTTGACAATTATTTTTACTTTTCGGCACTCAGTGCGGATAAGGCCCGTATCCGCACTGAGTGCGGAAAAGTGAAACTTTGAGAACTGTAATGCGTGCGGAAAAGTACTACTTTGCGCACGCTCGTAGGAAAAAAATATTACGAAACCATCCCCTAATCGGGGGATCATTTCATAACAAAGCTTCTTAGGCATCTAGTAAATTAACTGTTACAACAATACTCAAGCAACATGCAAATATTGTAATGTAATAATATTATGTAACTATGAAATCATGACCCCATGACCGTCTGGGTTTCTGTAAGACATTGCCCTTTGCTAAACACACCCCCGAGTATCCGCATTATTTACCATGTTTTTTGAGGAAAAAGTCTTATTTTTGAGGTGAAACTTTTTAGGCGGCGACAGTCTGATATTTGGACGAGAATGGAGAGTGATTTGAAAGAGGCGCTATATACGTTTAGGCCCATTTCGTTCGAGAATCGAGCTATATCTAGGGTTGCCAGATACTTGACTTTTGAAAATAGGAGAGCCTGTATAAAATTATATGAGATTGCATAATAATATAAGAGAATATTTTATGTACTACAAAATACCCAAATTCAAAAAAGCTTCCATCTTGACAATTATAGTCCATTTTTTTGAAAGCTGGTATAATCAATCATGCTCGACCAATTTTAATCCTAAATCCTTTGAAGAGTGAATGAACCACCTGCAATAAACGAAGAGGTGACAGTTTGATTATACCAGCTTTCAAAAAAATAGACATGATTTTTAGCAGATTTTGGAATGCATCGCTAGACATTCGTTTGGATAGTTAAATACTCCCCCTGATCCGTCAGTCTCATTTCCTGTAAGAAGTTGTGGACAACACCTTGGTTTTTTTGATGTTTAAACAAATCCCTGACCCAAAATTGTTTTGTTTTTTTCTCTGTTTTTACTTTTATTTTTATTCATTATGTACAAAAGCGACAAAAGTAAAATATCATTTATCCGACGACGTCGGGAAAAAGTTGAAAATATTCGGATAAAAAGTGGTGGGAAATTTTTCAGCCAATAAGAGCTCCGTCGTACCATCGGACGGTCATGGAACCCATGAGGCCGGAGTCTCATGCATCCGTTTTCCGACGGAAGATGTCCGAAAAACCTCCTATTTTGACATAATCGTATAAAAATATGTCAGAATAGAAGGTTTTTCGGACATCTTTCGTCGGAAAACGAATACATGAGACTCCGGCCTATCACATGTACGCAATGTAGTGATATACATGAGCCAAGTTTTCAAATTCACTATTTGCTTATGCGCATTTCTCTTGATCAGTTACCTATCCTTGTTTTGGTGCTGTCAAATGACAAGGACATCATTACATCTTACATCGGTGAAAATGCGCATATGTCATTGATGATTTCAAAAACCTGCCAATAACCAAAGGGTTATTGGCAGGTGAAAAGTCACGTGGCTCCGTCTTAACAAACCGCAACATACCGCTCAAATTCGAGTGGTAGGTATCCATCACGTCACTTTGTAACCGGGTTAGAAAACGGTATGTCATTTCTCTAACCTTTTTGTAACCCGGTTAGTTAAACCGAAGCCACATGAAAAGAACTGATGGTTTTTTTTTTCTTTGATGAAAAATGAAAATATTTGAGAAATAGTCTCATATTAAACATGCTTATATGAGATATGAGAAACAGTTGAAATATATGAGTCTCATATTAAAAATAGGAGGTCTGGCAACCCTAGCTATATCTAAAACACAAGCCTTCGTTTCAAGACAGAGTAGAGAGATATCATGTTGAGAGCAGGAACAGAGAGCTGTAGTTTGTATTGGTATATCTAATAGGCTCCTTGCATCAAATTTTTTTATTGCTGATTTCGATAGTCCATGAAAAATAAGTCAACACGTGTTTTTTCTTTTTCTTGTCAGTCAAAAATTGACGGAGATACAACGCTTTGAAATGTCCTTCCGACATCATAACTTAGGTATAATACGTTGTGAGTTGTGACGTCGCACGTGCTCAGTATATCTATATATACAAAAACTCAATATTTGTATAATTTCCGAAATAATCATATTTGGACAAAATAAAAAAACACGCATCGATTTTTTTTCGATTTCCTACAGTTTGCAATACAAAATAATCAATTTAATTTTTGATGCAAGTACCCTATTCACAGTTTCGGCTATCCGTGTCTCCCTTTTGTGCGGTCTTTCTTCTTTAACCCCCACTCGTGGAAAAAGGCCAAAGTCTCAGTTGCTCGAAGGGAGAATAGTTTAGAAAGCAGTTTACAAGCAAGAGAGAGCCACGTATTCACTGAATACTACGCAATGGAAGAGAATATTGATTTTTCACGAAAGAGTCTATTCAGAACCGAAACTTAATGATCGATCCTATAAAAAATCGGTCATAAAAGTATCGATTCTTGAAGAATCGATTTTCGATTCTGGCATTGATATTGTTGTTTAGATAACTCGAGTATCTTAACAAACAGAAAATAAAAGGTATTTACATAAATAATAGGTACTTTTTATCTCCATTGGACATCAAAAAATGGTTAAGATGGATTCAAGGGAAAAATAATCGCATATGAAAAAAATCGATAGTTAAAAAATCGATCTTTAAGAGAATCGATTAGCAGTACAAGCATGTGTATGGCCCTGCACCTGATTTTTTATGTTTTTATTTAGATTACGTCACAGCAATAGTTGAAAATGGAAGCTATTAAGAAACTAAGTATTAAAAAAGCTTTAAGTAGTGATAAGTGCTGCTTGTGTACTTTAAAGACTTATAAAGCATTAGTAAAAATTCCATCGCAGATTGCCTATGACACCCTTGCTGAAACTTTGGTGAAAATCAAGAAATGGGATCCGAAACAGGAGCAAGATGTACCGATACTTACCATTTTACATCGGATAAAATAAAAGATATGAAAGTGAAATGGCACCTTGAATGTTACAAAAGAATTAAAAAAAAAAAAGATTCTTTGGAATGAATGGAGAAAAAATATAATGCCCAGCAATTGGAAGCTTCAACTAAGTCTCAGGTAACCAATGATATTGTATCTAATATGCCGTCAGATGCAACAGCATCAAAGTTTACAAGAAGTAAAACAAAACCCTATCTAAAAAATGAGGTAGGTATGTGCTTTCTGTGACCAAGGAAGTACTAGGCGTCGACAATTACGTCACGTATCTTATGGGTCATCTCCTAAAAAAAGCGATTAAAATATCTAAAAACGAAGTTATTTCTGTGAGATTATCTGTATGCATTAGTCCAGGAGATGCTCACGCTGTAGACATATGCTGTCATAAGAACTGCTGGATTAACAATGTCACTAATGTTTTAAGGACAAATAGACAGAAAAGTAATACCGAAGAATCATCGATAGTAACTGGATCAGCAGTAGCAGTTGAGTTTCTTAACACAACAAAGTCATTTCCCAGGGATGGAAATATAAGCTGTATGGCTGATCTGCATAGTACTTACCTAAATATATGTCAATCTAACAAAATAGACATTGAAATTACGCAACTTATGTCTCGTAGAGATTTAAAATTATTTTTGCAAGAAGAAATTCCTGATATCATTTTCTCTGTACCTAAAAAAAATTAATCTGAAAGAGTTTCACTTAAACTTACAGTAGATGCGGCTTTACAAGAAACTGAAGATCAAATAACTACATAATTTAAATTTACTACTGAAGGCAGCCCCTATTTTAAGGAAGGTGTGTTTGGCTGCACCAAAATGGACTTTCCAAGGTTCTCTCGATGATACTAATTTTAAACTTCCTGAAAAACTTCAGCTATTTTTTAAATGGTGTCTTTGCGGTACAGGTGAAGGCAATCAGAAATAGATAACCGTGCTTCCAGGCTTTCACAAATTCTAATGTATGAGTGTCTTACCAAAAATCAATCAAAATCCAAGTCATCTACTCAAGTACAAAGAACCCGTGAGTTACCTTTGCAGATGGGGTTGGGTCTTGCTATTCATAAAAAAAACACGAAGTATGGCCGCAGTTGACATTTTATCAAGTCTGGGGTTATCGGTTGACTACAGCAAGATAATTATGATAGAAACAGATATGGCCAAAAGCGTTTTAAAAACAATTACTGATAATGATGGGGTGTATATTCCACCAGAACTTCAAGAAAAAGAATTTGTTCATTTTGCGGCTGACAATCTTGATTTTCATGAGGACACTCCAGATGGAAGAAGAACTCTGCATGCCACTGTTCTTGTTGGTTACCAGAAAAATACTGAACAGAAAATTAAAACCATTGCAATTTTAGATCAAGATAACTTAAGAGCCATTACAATTCCACCGTCAATTTATTCACTTGATCAATGTTATATAAGGAAGAACGCCAAGCCTGACATTCCCAAAAATATCGCTCTTCCTATAACATCCAATGAAACTTTAACTGAGGCTTTGGAAAAAACCCACTGCTGGCTACTTGCAACTAGAGATTATATATCTCCTGAAACAGCTGAGGATAAAAATAAACATGGCTTAACGTGGTCTGCCTACAACTCAGTTGTATGTCCCGGCGACACAGAAAAAACAACAATTGCTCTTTTTCCAATTCTAGATATAACACCCATGGACATGTCAGTGCAATTAACATTTTTGAATATTTTTGAAAAGGTTAAGCACCAGCAGGTAAACGAACAGTTGTAACTGTTGATCTAGGGCTTTACAAGTCCCTGCTGAAATTAGTGCACGAGAAGAAAATGGAAAACATACTGCTTATGCCTGGAGACCTTCATATTACAATGGCAATGTTGAGAGCAATAGGTTGTTCTATTGAACTCTCTGGCATACCAGAGTCTTGGGTAGAATGTGGCTTATATAGTGAACAAGTAGCAAACAAAATTTTGGAGGGAAAACCAGTGCGCCGATCGATCCATCGAGGCGCACATTGTGACTGTAGAAGTTTTTTTTTCATTATATTTGGATGAATTGATTAAACATTTTCCGGACTTAAAGGATCGATATGATGAGCTAGCAAAGCTTTTGGCAGACTCTTGTAAAAACATTAAAACGTCAAATCTAGCAAGTATTGGAAACTACGCCCACGAGTTACATTACAGGTTGCTTAAGGATACTAACTTCTGTAGCAAAATGGAAGAATTTAATCAAAAAGAAGGAGAAACAATACCGACATTTGCTTTTGCTATACAGTATATGAATATGGTCACTACAATGCTTACTTTTATTACTTCTGTGCGTAGTAGAAACTGGAATCTTAGGAATGTCGACTTGAAAGATTTTTTGAAGTATTTCTTTGTTTTAAATCGAAGAAATTATGCTCCTCTCATTTCTTATCATTTGTCCGAACTATCTTACATAGAAAGCGATGACCCAGTAACGTGGAGTCACTTGAGCTCAAGTTTATGGGCTCCTAATAAAAATGGCATTGGTTTCTGTTCTCTTGGAGCAGATGAAGCGCTTGAATAAGAAAACCGTAAAATGAAGGTTTCCGGAGGATTAATTGGCATAACTTTAAAACCGGAAGCCTTAACCAAGTTTTTCTTGAACATGCCTTATCTGAATAGGTTATCCAATACAGTGCTTGATAAACTTGGTAAAAATAAACCTGCCTTTTTCCGCCATGAGTTATATGACACCAAAAAATCAACAAGAGTATGTGACAATGTAAAAACTTTGAAAATAACCGTTGAGGATTTTACAAATCCATTTTCGTATGATTAGAATCATCTCATAAATTTAGTGACAAAACGCATCGCTACGGACGTAGTTTGTAAAGATATAAATGTGCTATGTCAGACATAGGTGAGAAAATGGAAAACAACTTTCTAGAAAACCGGATTAAAAATAAAACTGTCAATTTTTGGGATCCGTTAAAAAGTTCTGGTTTAAGTTTTAATAAGTCCATGTTAAAAAAAGCCACCGTTAAAACAAAAGCGGGCATCACACAGCTGAAGCCATTAATATGTTTTCTAGGTGTGTCTTGATCTGCAGAAGTCGTCCAGAGTTAAATTTGAAAGATATAATTGGTAATAATGAACTTACAGCAATACCACGATCGCTCTTCTACCCTGACGGGTCTATGATTCACTTACAGGGAAAAAGTAAATTAATGCATATTTTAGCAGAAATTGGAAACAAGAAAACGTTTCAAAGCAACGTAAAAGATAAAAACCAGGACTCTGCTTTTAGTATTGCTGTCATTGATGCTATGGCAGAAGTAAAAATGCTTTTGCTGAAAGATTGCACCTATCTTTCTGACTTGTCAGAGCAATTTTCAAACAAAATATTGAAAAAGTACGGTCTATATTCTGAAATACACGTTATTTTCGATACATACATAAATGGCTCTCTAAAGTCCTTGGAAAGAAACAGAAGGCGAGGAGGTACAGACCCTATACGTTAACACGTTGACGATAAAATTAATATAAAGAGTACTACAATCAAAAAACTATTGTCCCATACATCAACCAAGGAAGACATAACCGAATATTTTTCACACAATCTTATCGCATCTGGCAACAAGCATAACAAAAAACAAACAAACAAACAAACAAACAACTCGCTTACTGTGTACAAGGCTCTCCTCAGGAAATACACCCTCAACGCCCTGCGAAATTCGAGAAAAGATGCAATGGACCTGATGTTAGGCGGTAGATGATTATGCATCTTTTTAGCATTATAAGGTATTGAACTTTTAACTAACTCTGAGCGCGGGATTGGCAGATAAAGATCCAACTCTGCGTTCCTCAGTGGATAATTGTGAGATGGCCTCTCTGAGATAGCTGATATTGAGTGCTTACGAATTAAGCAGACGGATTCGAAAATAAGTAAAGATGGAAGAGTCAATATACTAGACTTGATAAAAAATTCCCGGCAGTGAGTTCTACTACCAAGACCCAAAGAATAACGAAGAGCTCTCTTCTGCAGTAAATGCGTTCAAATTGAGACGCACAACACGTGGCCCAGAATGGAAGGGCGTAACGTAAATGCGACTCAAAAAGAGCATAATATACCATCCTGCAAGTTGCCGAGTTAAGCTCCCTGGAAACAGATCTCAGTGCAAAACAGGCCGAACTTAATTTCTTTGCTAAGGCGTCGATATGCACTTTAGAGATTTATCAACAACAAGCTCCAGGAATTTCACGTAATCAACGGCCTCCATGGTATTGTTATCCAGTACTACAGATTGGAGCGAAGCTCTGTAAGATAAAACTTTGGTTTTAGAGAGGTTGAGGCACAGGAGATTTGAGTCACACCATGATTTGATGGTGATTAAGTCACTAGATACGGTTCTATGGAATTCCGTAATATCCGGGTTGCTCCAAGTGAAACTAGTATCGTCTGCGAAGAGACAAACTTTGCCGCTAATATCCAGACTAGCAATGTCGTTAATAAATAGCAGGAACAAAATAGGGCCAAGAACTGAACCCTGAGGCACACCACATTCAATTGGTTTACAAGAGGACATGGTCGAGTCCACCCTCACAAGCTGACTTCTGTTACCAAGATAAGACTTAAACCATTCGAGAGCCATTCCTCTGAAACCGTAGAACTGTAATTTGTTAATTAAGATATTATGATTAACACTGTTCACGAAAATTTGCGTTAGGTTTTCGAAAGTTTAAAGAGCAGCGGGACTGTAGCGCTAAATTCAATTTTGCCGCACAAATATTAATGGACATAAACCCGAGCCATACAAAGACAATGGAGGATTGGCACTTACTTGGTTTATGCTGGTTTTCGTCGATCCAGAGGAGCTCCGCGTGTCCAGAAAGTCTGCTTCTCAGCGACACACCGATACAACACAGTCTTAGAAATAAAAATAAGGAATTTTTGCCTTGAATTCGATAGGTTTTTTGATTTTGATAACGACCGAAAAAGCGGACGTGGTTTTAGAGACACGGCTTCGTACTGTACTTGCTTCTCATAAATCACATATTTTTCACCTACGCCGAGTCTGCGCGAGCGGTGCCAATTTTGATTTGAACTTGTATGGCTTTTAACGGTTTTTTCTTTCGTATTTTTGAATAAATATATAAAATAACAAAGTTGCATGAACATTAACCGCCCACTTAAAACGGAGTTTTACGTTGAATAAATGAGAGAAAAAAATATATATAATACTAATAATAAAATAGAATAAAATAGAATAAAACTACAAAAACAAAACACAACACACAGAGATTGCTTATCTGAGTTTAACGCGAATCTAATAACAAAGGGCACAACTTTACCACTGGACGAGTAAGGAGCCCGTGCTGTGTTTTTACTGTAGCAATTCTAACGTGACCATCCGGACCAGGATGCACGGTTACTATTCTTCCCAGTGACCAGTGCAATGGTGGTCTGGATTCATCCTTGATTAACACCAAAGCGCCAAGCTTAATTTCGACGGAAGGATCGGACCACTTGCAACGTTGTTGCAAGGTGTTAAGGTACTCGATTTTCCAACGCTTCCAAAAATCTGAATGAAGGCGTTGAACAAGTTGCCAACGATTTAAAGTGTTTAGTTTTAGGGAAGAAAGGTCCGGATCAGGACAAGAATTTAATGGTTCTGTGGTCAGAAAATGACCAGGTGTCAGTGGTGACAGGTCATTTGGGTCTGAACTCTGTTCCCAGAGAGGTCTCGAGTTGAGAAGAGCCTCTATTTGTGAGAGAAGGGTATAGAGTTCTTCGAAAGTTAAGATTTGGTTGCCAATTACGCGATATAAATGAGTTTTGACAGATTTGACTCCCGCTTCCGCTAAGCCATTTAGGTGGGGAGCCCCAGGACTATTCAGGTGCCACTTTATGTTCAGACTTTCCGCAGCTAATCTTGACAGGTTTTGGAGTTCTTTTATAGCTCCGACAAAATTGGTTCCTTGATCACTTACGATTTGAACGCAAGTGCCACGTCTAGCTACAAAGCGTCGTAACGCTGCAATGCAAGCTTCCGTAGTCAAGCTTGAAACTAACTCGATGTGGATAGCTTTGACACAAGTGTCGACAAACACCGCAATATACGATTTCGTGACTTGCGCTCCACGACGTCTTTGACCTACAAAGGATTTTATTGGACCAGCATAGTCCAGACAAACGTGGGAGAAACACTTCAGCTGGGAAGTTCTGAAATCGGGTAGATCTGCCATATATGGTGTGTATGATTTAGGTTTTAAACGAGCGCATCGAATGCATTGGGATAAGACCTTTTGAATTGCTTTACGCGCAGATATGATCCAAAATTTTTGGCGAATAAGATACTGCACTGTATTAAGCCCAGGGTGCAGATTTTCGATATGAGTTTGAGTTATGATTAAATTGGTAAGATGATGAATTTTGGGTAATAATAAGGGATGTTTCGCCTCAAAAGAGAGCTGAGAATGCCTTAATCTACCGCCCACTCTGACTAAACCCGACTCATCTGAACGTTGTTATGGAAGTATCCCCGGAGTTCTTTCGGGAAGTAATGAAAGCAGGAAAGATATTTATTGAGTGGGATTGTTTTCAAGTGTATGAATACATTGGAGTATTACGCTGCTACAAGTGCTGGAGATATGGCCATAAAGCAGTGAACTGTCGTCATAATGAGGATGTTTGCCCTTTGTGTAGTAAAAATCATAGGAGTTCAGAGTGCGACTCACGTGATCAGGAGTGTACAAATTGCAAATATGCCTGTGAAGTTTTGAAGATACCAAATATTGACTTCAAACATACAGTTTTTGATAAAAACTGTATATGTTATAGGAAAGCACAAGAAAAAACCAAATCTCGCACACAATATGTCTAGCAACGAAAGATTGCGTCAAAGAAAATTATTTTTCGGTCGAAAATAATTTTGCATGCTAATATACAGGGTCTTTTGAGTCATTTGGATGAAGTGTCTGATATTTTAAAACACCAGAAGCCTCTAGTATTATGCGTTACTGAAACACACGTTACTCAGAGTATTGAGGAATCCGAATTTCAGGTGGACGGATATGTGGTAACTATGACCTATTCAAACAGTCGATATACAGGGGGTGCTGCCATGTATATTAGAGGTGACATAGGATTCAATGTTTTGTTTAGTGACTCAAGGGATTACTGTCATTGGGCAATTGCAGTAAAAATTAAGATAGGGCAAGAATCCGTTTTTATAGGAACTATATACAGGTCGCCAAATAGTCCAGTGAGAGATTTTTTCGTTTATTTTGATAACATTTTAAATAGTGAAAACATACACAATCAAAAAACAGTAATTATGGGCGATATAAATATAGACTATTTAAAGAATGACGCGGATTCGCGAAACTTGAGAAACATAACTCAAGCAGCAGGTTTCAAACAAATAGTGACAAGAGCAACAAGAGTGACAGATAAGTCATCAACACTTATAGATCATATAGTCACAAACGACTTCAAACTAAGAGAAATCCCCAGAAAATTTCCTAAGTTAAGTGATCACGATATTATTGGTATTCAAATGGACTATGCAGGAGAAGAATCCA